AAGATTAGGCTTTGAGAACGCCGTGCTAGCTGTCAGACATGTTGGTAGCATCATGCTAACGGCGTCTTTCACCACTACAGCCATGTGACGCTTCTCCAACTGCAGTGTTCATTCAATTGACTCGGTTGTTTTGGAGGAGGGATGCATCTAGAAACTGCAGGAACATGGTGGAAACCTAGACACAGCCAGTTGTTTTAATGGGACAATGATCCCAAAGAAACATCACAACTGGTTTTGAAATGTATAAAGTAGGCTAATATTACTTTTCTAAAATTACCCTGACTTTAATCCTGTTGAAAATTACACTTAAAAGCTGCATCTGTGGCAGGAAACCAACCAGTTTACACGAGCCCTAGTGTTTCTGATTATAAGAGAAGCGTGCTGATGTCCAACTGACTAAGAGACATTTATCCAAATATTATTGAGGCTCTTCAATCCAGGATTGACGCTTCTGGTTGAGAGAGGATCAAATGTGGTCAAGATTATAAAAAACAACAAACACAAAAAAACACCTTGGATCTAAAACTGAATCATAAGTTGTTAATCACATACCAACCTGATCAGCCACCCATCGTGCACAACAATCATTTGTTACACCATAAGTAGACGATAAAGTTTTGGTGCAATTGAAAATTGCATATATATATATATTTTTTGTCTTGTGATGGCCACCAAGTCATGCCGCCCTGGGCAAAAAGCCACCCACATAAACGATTGCAGATGTAGACTCTGAAACTTTACAAGGTCTCACAGAGACCTTAACACCAGCAAGAGTCACTGGACATCAGCTGGATTCTCTTTCATTTTCCTTCAAAATTGCAAATTATTTTCAGCTTTGGCCTCGACTCAAATCATCAACAAACAAGGAAGTTTCTGATTGTTGTCGACCAGAAACTCATTTGTTGCTCCTCTCAGTAACGACTTGGTGGCGCGAGGAGCTACAGGTGGAGAAATTAACACCAGCCCCATTGCAGCTCTGCAGAGATGCAATTTGGCACAGAGCTGTTGCAGCGGAGTGTGTCCGCTGGCACACCCAGGCTCATCAGTTTCCACTTAGCAGCAAGGTGATTGTGATGCTGTGGTAGATCTGCTGTGCTGTCAGAGCAGCGTAGGCTTGGTAGGTGCAGCTTTCAAGTCTGAAATTACAGATCTGTTTCTTTTCTCTCTCCCTCTCTCTCTCTTTTTTTGTTTTGGTTTAGCTGTGATCGTGGGAGGCGTGGTGGGCGCCTTGTTCGCCGCCTTCCTGGTGATGCTGCTGGTGTACAGGATGAAGAAGAAGGACGAGGGCAGCTACACGCTGGAGGAGCCCAAACAAGCCACGGTCACCTACCAGAAACCCGACAAGCAGGAGGAGTTTTACGCATAACCCCTGGATGCCGGGGAGTCGCACCTCACACCGGGCTGGGGGTTGGGGGAGGAGAAAGAGAGAAAAGTGAAAGATACTCTAAAGCGCTCCCCCTCCTCCTCTTCCTCCTTCTCCTTCTTCTTCTTCTTCTTCTTCTACTACTATTACTCGCCCCTTCATCTCGTCATCCCGCTCCTCCCCTCTCGTCTCCAAAGCGTTTGAGAGCGCCTTCTTTCTGGGGACTTTCTTTTCGATGAGAACGACAAAATAAGGACAAAAAAGGATGGAAAAATTCAAATATATTCAGAAAAAAAAGCAACATACACACAAGATGTTTTTAAAGTAACTGTTGTTATTAATATTCTGCAGATTCTCTTGTTCTGTATGTAAGGATATGATGATTTTGTAAGAAAAACGACAAAAAAGGACATTCTCCTAGTCTGTGTTTTCCAGCACAAGCAAACAAAAACAAGTCCCCCGCCCCCAGAACCCCTTTCTGTTTTTATGGAGCAAATAAAAAAAGAGAGAGAGGAGAGGAGGGGGGCGCTAAGAAGAGGAAGCCATGACTTAACAGAAGGTGGGGCATGATTCTGCCCCTCGTTTCCCCTTCCCCTAAAACAAGCAAACAAAAAAATCCAAAACACTGAGCGTCTGGTTGGCCGGGCAGAGTCCAGGGTCAAAGGTGAGAGGAAAGGTCTCTTTTGTGCCTTCCGTCCTTTTTTTTTTTTTTTTTTTGGTGCTCAAATATTCACACACCGACATGAACACAGGCATATGCACACACACGTCTCTGCACACAGACACCGGAGTCTTTGCTGGAAGGTGGCTCTGACCTCTCGCTCGGCTCGGCCAACCAGAAAACGCCACGGCGTGTTTTGGTCACGTCGAGCCGGTGACCCCTCTGCTCCTCTGGGCTGTACAAAGACTAGTTATTGATAGTAATAATGATGATAATAATAATAATAATCAATAATATATCAATGCTTCAGGGCTGGATGGTGAGGAATTATTGTGATAATTATTATAATAATAATAAAGCGGTAAACGATAATGATGATGACGATGAAACCTAAAGAGGAGGATGTTGTAGTTAGCATTTAATGAAAAAAGAAGAAAAAAAAAGAAGTATATATGTAAATATCAGCGTATCCTTTCTGGCGTCACTAATCATCTGCATGATCTATTTGTTTTTGTTTTTTTTGTTGTTTTTTCTTTAATCCATCCATCACCTTCATCATCACCTTAGACGAGCTGTGCTCTTGTCGCGTGCACGCACACACTCTGCACACAGATTTAAAAACTAGCTGCGCGTTAGAAACAGGCCACACAGACTTTAAATCATATCATCCGAACACATTTCAGAGCCACTGTCGTCATCGTCGTCGTGACAGAGCGAGGCCAGGTGGTGTTGCTGATCAGTTATCAATCGGTTTGGTTCGTTTTGTGTACAAGCACAATTACGGAGCCTTGCAAAAGTATTCATACCCCAGTCAACATTTTCCTCTTTGGCATTTTGCACAGGCGAACTTCTCTGTACTTTACTAGGATTTTAATTCCACAGCACTTTCTTTCTTTTTACTCTTCCTTCAGCAATAGCTTTTTTTTTTCTTGTCACTTTTCCATAAAAAAACAATTCTTTATTTCTGACAGATTCTCCTCTAGAGTCACCACAAGCCTCCAGGCTGCTTCCCCGATTAAATGTTCTCGGCCAGTTGTGGTTGACCATCCATTCATAAAATGCCAATAAAAAAAAATACATGAAAGTTTGTGACAGTAACATAAACGATTGCAAAAGCTTGACGGGTGTGAATATTCTTACAAGGCGCTGTGTTCATGTACAGTCTTTGTGTCATCCGGAAAACATCTGCCCTCTCGAGCCGTCTGCATGCCTCGCGGTTTTTTTTTCCTTTGGCTTTCGTCCCATCCACCGCTGATCGGCTCTCGGTTTGAGGATGGGAGATGTTCAAAAGTTGCTCCCATGTGCACTGAGTCCAAAAAAATAAAAAAATAAAATAAAAAATTGTTACATTTGTTGGTAAATTTTTGTTAACGAGAGCGAAAGCGATCAACCTTCACCTGCCGTGGGACCATTTTTGAGGGGCAGACGATCGGGGGGGTGGGGGAAATCCCTACTTCGATCTAAGAGATTGTAACAATAACCACACACCAGTGCGTCTGGGCTAGTAGCTTCTCTTATACTCAGTACTGTAGATTAAAAAAAATGCATGGGAGTCAAAATTATACTTGTCTGACTGTACGTGTGGATTCCTGTGTGTGTGTGTGTGTGTGTGTGTGTGTGTGTGTGTGTGTATATTAAAAATTAAAGAGGGGTGCGTTAAAGTTGGAAGAATGTACTGTGGTCGAGAGTGTGTTTACCTACTCCAGCAGTTCTCACGCTCTTCCACAGACGGGTAGCACACCTCCTCCACTCCTGTGTGTTAAATCACCTGCCACCCCCTTCACCAGTGTGTGTGTGTGTCTGCATCTAATCTGAACCCGCCACCTCGCCTGTAAGCGTGCGTCACCTTGGTATTTCACAGCAGCTCTTGTGTACATGACACTAGCCTGTCCTGGTGTGTATGCGTGTGTGTGTGTGTGGGGGGGTGTTTTGCATGCGTTTCATCTGCTCATTGCTGAATGTGGGGCCACTCGTCCCTCAAAGTGGCTCTCACACATGCTGACTGTGTCTTCTCACTGTCTGTCTGGCTCGTCTACCTGTCTGTTCGCCGTGGGACGGATGGACAGACGAGCCGCCACTTTGTCACAGGCAGGAATGATCTAAACACGTACTGTCTTTTCTAAAGTGACTGTCAAAAAAAAAGTCGTGCGTTTGTACCCATCTAAGCCTGCGTAGCCAAATAATATGAGTGTGTGTGTATGCGCGTGTGTGTGTGAGGGAGAGACTAGAGATATTTGTGTATATGCGAGTCTGGGTGCGGATGTGCGCGTCTGTGTGAAGCCCAGTGGAGGCTACACTCCTCTATGTTTGCTGTTCCCATTCCTGTTTTTATACATTTGCATTTTTTTAAGGCTGAGTTTCTGTCATTGGCTGAGTGAGCGAGAGGAGGCGGATCCTCCACGCCACCGCCCTGTCACTAATCTGCCACTCTGTTCCAAATAAAAAACAACCTGATTGGGTAAATGTGTCCTCTCTCTTGTCTTTTTAATGTTTCTCCTGGGCCTCCTTACTGAGTCAACATTATAAAATATATATATATTTGTTAAAACTGTCTTGACAGTATAGAATAAGACTGATGATCTGGAAAAACCTTCTCCCAGCGCTAACCAGAAGCAACCAATCAGAGCCAGGAGGCGGGTCTTAGCGCTGTCAATCACAAACTTGTGTGCGTTCCTCTCATCCCTCCTTCCTACTGCTGCAGGTTTTCTCCATCAGCAGATTCTGTTGTGAATAAGCGGGTACATTTGGTTGATTGGCAGCTCTCGATCAATCTTTTCACAGACTACCTGTCTCGTAGCTTATCGTCACGACATGGTGACGGTTTTAATTAATGTGTAAAAACATATTATAAAAGTTACATACTGGAGCTTTAAAGGTGGATTTATAATCTACCCCATAACTCCCACTGATTTAGTCTTGGACTCAAAAATCATCTGATATGTTAACATATTCGTACAGTGGCTTGCAAAACTAAAAATTTTTTTCCAGTTTGTCACATTAAAACCAGAAACTTCACTTTATTTTGAAACCAAAATTAAATATTATAGAAATATGAAGTGAAGACGAATGACAAATGAGGTTTTCATCCAAAAGGAAACAAAATGGCTCAAGATCAGTCGGACTGGACTTACTCCTTTTAAACCTTAGAGGTTTATTAGAAAGGGAAGTTTTCTTTCTGATTAGCAGACACTAATATAATCTTTCAACATTGTCTAAAGCGACACTTCCCCTAATTTCTCAAAAAAAGTTTCGAATGATCCTTGGAATACTGACAGTTTTCTGCTCATTTACAGGTAACGGGTTTAATTTTAAACTATTTTGTTGAAACATGTTCTTGTTTTAACAAAGTTTAACAGAAAAGTTGGTGTTTGCTTTAAAAATACGTAAGTTGATGGTTTAGGAGAAGTTTTCTCTCTGCATAGGAGAAAAGGAATAGTTAAAACATCATATCCTTAAGAAGAAGGAGGAAATCCAGCAAAGGTCTGACACAACCTGAGAGCTGGGTCATCCTTCAGTTCATCCATCTTCAGTCTGCCAAAGCCTCATCATAAATGGTCTCACTGGACGATTAGCTGTCAAGAAGTGATTCTAAAGGAACGGGAAGGATGGCGGTGGAGGGGTGGAGGCGCAGCACGTCAAATTACACAAGGATTTTCTCTCAGGACCTGGGCCGCGTTTCAGTCAGTGTTAGGGATCGTGTCAGGAATGATGGACTCATGAGCTCAGATAAGTTCTGTCAAATGTTGATCCAGCATGATATGGAATATATTTGAATGGCAGCAGTCTCCCTTTCCAGAGCGAATATGCCGTATAGAAACGGGGGAATAAATCTCCTGGCGTGACCTCGTCAGTTTGAGAGAACTAAAAGTGAAAGGCAGCCAAAGTATTAACAAAAACTTCAAGATCTATCCACAACATCTTGGAGAAACTGCAGTTTCCCTCAAGAATTATTGAAGAAATTCCACGAGGGGGGGGGGGGAAGAAGCTAAGAGGAGAAGGTTAAGGGAACAACCACAACAATTTGTTTGTGCAAAGCTGTGTAAATAATCAGAAGAAATGGTGAGAAAACCGTCAAATGTTACAAAGAAATGCACCAGCAGGCCTGAAGATGTTCATCCTGGAGCTTCAGCTGATGTTGCTCTTTTAAAAAATTTTTTTTTACCACAAATAGGGAGCAAGCCCTTTTTTCTACGCACAGCCAGCTTCTTAATCAAAAACATCAGGCCGCAAATTCTGCAAAAAAAAAAAGAAAAACTTTTTATCCTAAACACAACTTCAGACGGACTTCATTTTGTGCCTCAGCTGAGCTAATTCCCTAACAAATGCACCATTAATCAGAATGCCCAAACTAATTACAATGTAATTAACCTTGGGATGTTTGAGCCTCTTAAGGTCACCCTAATCAAGCCTTGCTTATTATTAAATCTTTTTTTTTTATTTGTTTCATTAGATAAAAACTATTTATGTACATTCTGTAATCAGCAACGCAGCTTCCTTTTTAATGAGAATTTTTTTGCTATGAATGCCTTCAAAACTTAAATAGCTCCCTGCTGCAAAAACCTCTGCAGGTCAAATCGGTGAAATAAGTTGACTGCTCCCATTTTCTTGCATCTATATTTTGTGCGTAAACGCTGCTTTTATTGAAGCGCCATCATCCCAACTCGGAAGTTTTGGAAAATTTCAGTTCATTTTATTCAGATGGAAGAAAGAAAGAAATTGTTTCACAAAATATAATTCTTCACATTCTTTTTTTATTTCTTGCAAATCCTACCATGTAAGTGTAAAAATATTTTTACCTTACCTTTTTTAAAGTTGATTAGAGTTTTTTATTATTTTTTTTATTTTTATTAACCTAATTGTAAATGCATGCCCTTTATGGTTGACATGCCGCATAGATACGAGGCCGCCAGTTCTGTTCAAAATGGGAAAGGTAAGAAAACATGGCCTTTCAGGTGAGGCACATGATGCATCTTCTGACTTTAAAATAGTCCTGGAAACCTTGACATCATGGATCCTTTATAGAAACCTGCTGGACTGGACAGATCAACTTAATAATGGATTACCAGACACAAAAGAAATCTTCTTTCTTAGATTTTTCTATGGTTTTCCTACTGAACTGAGCTTAACCAATGACTTTTGATCAGACTTTTGGTAGCCTTCGCTCTGCAGCTGATCTGTTTGTTATGTTTCACATCAACATCTGCATCTCTTCTGCACCAACCAAAGTTATTACACTCCTGGATAATACTGAGTAATTATTAAAAAAAGAAATGTTCCAACTGTTTGGTCTAATAACTCTCAGTTTTCTTATTTTTAGAAATATAGTCGTAGGGAAACGAAAGGAGAAATTGCGTAAGATCAAAACTACAGAAAGAAGAAAAACTCAAAATAAAAAGAACCCTATACAGAAAGTTTACTTGCAACAAAAAGGCTTAGGCAAGTAAAATCCAGTTGTCCTGACCTTACTGCTACACTAACGCTTTCGGCAAGGCATTCTTTCTCGACAAGTCTGGAATTCGACATGTTTCGATACCTTGCATCTCCGCTGCCATCTGACAACATGTTCCGCTCACTGAGATCAGGAGACTCTCCCAGAAACGCCAACATCTCCAACATCTCTTAAGTCCATGTAATCGAGAAAACAAGCCATCAACATCGCAGCTCCGCCTGGTTCCATCGGAGGCTGCTGTCAGTGAGCTCTGCGCCTTACCCACCAGGACATTGTTACTGGAAAGACATGCAACTGCTGAATTATTTAAACGTCATTTCTTCCCGTGCTGACAGCGTTACAAAGGAAACTCCATTTGTATTCATTTCTGCTATTGTGGGAGAAATACAGTGGAAAACCTGAAGCAAAGGGCCAAAACTGCAGCTCATCTCGCAGAGCTTCGCGGAGTTAACGGCGCCTGGCAAAAGTGTCCACACCCCTTGAACTTTTCCACATTTTATCATGCAGTGACTGAAAATGATCGATGTGTTTTCCTGAGGTTTTGCGTAATGGACCGAAGCAAAGGAGTGCATGCATGTGATGAAGAAGGAGAAAGAGAAGGACGCATGGTGTTCAACTGTTTTTTGTTGTTTTTTTTTTTGTTTTTTTTTTTACAAATAAAAATCTAGAATGTGAGACGTACATTTGTATTCAGCTTCCTTCCTTCACTCTGAATCCAAGACTGTTCAGTCCATCATCTGAAAGTGAAGAGTGCGTTACAACAGCAAATCTATCAAAACGGATAGATTTGCGTTGCCATCCGCAACGCCGAAGAGATCATTAATCAGAGAAGCAGCTAAAGAACCCGTGCTGGCAAAATCTAGA